CCCGCCCCTTTGCGGCTGCTTCATTTGGATGTGTAAACGTGTTATTTATTTTCCCCTGCTCCATCCGGGCCAAGAAAAAAAAGGAGACGAGAAGAGAAAGAAAACTGAATGTTGCCTTTTAAGTGGCAATAAATCAAATTGTCCTGTTCTCTGCCCTCTGGGAAGCTGCCTTCGCTCGAGAGCGCCTCCAGAAGGGGGCGTTCGGCGGGGGGAGGGGGCGTGGCAGTCAGTCAGCGAGCTGTTGGCAACTTACTTTCATATTTGACTTAGTCATAAAAGGCAAAAGCGATTCGCTTTCAAGCTAGCCAAGGCAAAGCAGAGCCACACTACGAAAAAAAGCTGGACTAAATCTTTACGAAACAGCCAACAAGTTTATTCAAAGGATAAATCTTTTTCATGCGTGTTTCTTGGCTCCTGCACTTAAGCTTATACTAAGAAATTTTTCCATTCTAAATTCCTAGATTTGTTGTGGAACACATAATAGCTTCTACTTAATCGTGCATTAAATAAAAAGAAGAATATTTAATGGTTTTTGTTTTAAAAGTGCTATCTTCTTCCTAAATATTTTAAAAATGATAAATTTCTAATATACTTTCAAAACGAAGGCAAAAATTACCTCAAATTGTGCTCCATTCGATTTCTTGATATTTTTGATTGCAGATTGATCGGATTTTGCATTGTGCTCATAAAACTGTCAACTATATTAATGTCCGAAGGTCTTCAGCCAATCCAAAACCATTTGAACGGAGAAAAATAGGGGCTTTTATTGATAATATTTTTCTGTGTGCCGGAAAGCAAGGACTAAAGGCTAAGGATCTGGGCCCCCAAGTCAGTCAGCTGTAAGCCACTGAAGTATTTGTATGTGTGTGAGTGTGCGAGAGTATGTGTGGGTGTGCTTGTGTGTGTGCCATCGCGGCTTTGTGTGCTGCGCTGTTTGTTTAGCGTTCCATAAGCTCTTAAGCTCATTTCGGTTGCGTTTTATTTGTAACTTGAGGCACCCAACACACACACACAACACACTCACACCAAAGCTGACTTTATTTATTTAAAATAAAGCTGCCGAGCAGCTGAAATATTGAGTCAAACAATTGCAAGACGACAGCTGCAGCTTCAAAATTAAAGGAAAATCCAGAGAAGAGCCAAAAGTAGGGGATAAGTGGGTGTACTAAGTTGAGGTGAATACAAAAGGTTGGGCAAAATTGAAAGGTGCACACACGGCTTGGGGGGTGGGAAATAATAGTAGTTAATCCCGGCCAAATGTTATCAGACAGCGACCTGCATTTCTTCACCCCAAAAAAGGCTGAGCTAGCTGCAAAAAAATATCAACAAGTGTTGTTGGCAAAAAACGACAAAAAAATAGTATCTATTTCAGGGTATATTACCTGAGGAGCAGTTTAAAAGATGAAAGAAAATACGTTAATGTGGTAATCAAAAACGTTTCGCTATTTTCCAAGACTTCAAAGATCAAAGAGATTTTTTACTCATTTCTAATATTTATAAGAAATAACTTATAAACCTTTTATTTTCTGCCAATAAAAATCAAAGTCTTCTAATATTAGGTATTCAGAATTCAGAATCCTCGGTTGGCTTTCTTTCGAAAAACAATTACTATTTTTCATTGCATACTTTGTTTTCCAAGATGTTTAAATATATTATTTGTTAATCAAACAATTTTATTGTTGTTTAAACTAATTAATATATAATATTTTGAAAAGTCGTCAAGGGTATGTAGCGCTCCAAACAATCGCAAATTAATATGCCTTTTTATTTATGCAAACAGCACCACGCCCACCGCCCAATTCGCCTGGTGGTGCATGTCTTTGTGGTGCTTTGTGCGCTTAGTAACAACAGAATTTAACACCTTTTGATCGGCAGACAGCAAACGACCTGCGGGAGTGTCAGAGTGTGAGTGTAAGTGCGAGTGTGAGTGTTTGTGTAGTTATGGCACAAAATAAATTCCTGTAAGCTTTACTGAAGGGCACACATCCACACGCCACCCACACCAACACTCATGCAGAGCCAGAGACTCGGAGACTGCGAGTCCGACTTACATATGCTCGTTATTCATAAACTTAATGCCAAAGAGAGCATAATTTTCATTTTACCAGCGTTTCGGGTTTTGTTTGCCCCGTTTTCGGAGAACCACCCATTGGCATAGAACCACCAAAGAATGCACTGAGAAAAGTGTGAGGGAATATTTAACAGATAACAAAATAATAAATAAATCTGTCACTTTCCGGTTGATCTTGAATAAATAAAATTTTCGTTAATTTCATCATGATTTTAAACCAAAAATGGCCAAAAAATGAAATGAAAATAAAATGTCCAGTTTAAATGACAATCGATTGGAAATTTAATAACGAGTTCAGAAAGGTATGACAAATTTATTTGGATCAATATTTACATTGTTTCGGCCAAAAAACGAGTTATTTTTTTGTGAAAAATTGGGATCTGGGATTTTGTTAAAAATTGGAATTTTGTTGTTTGTTTTTTTGCTGTAACTTGGCCAAAAATCATCCTACACCAAAAATACGAACTGTTTTGAATAGATAACAAAATAATAAAAAAATCCATAACACTCTCCGTGTGATTTTGGGAAAATACAATTATCGCCAATTTTCAATTTTTTTTATAAGGGGATACCCCATGATTTTTTGCGAAAAATTAAAAACAAATAAAATGTCCAGGTTTAAATGCCAATCGATTGGAAATTTAATAACGAGCTCAGAAAGGTATGACAATCCATATTTGGATCAATATTTCTATTGTTTCAGTTAAAAACGAATTGTTATATGCGTTACAAAATTCCATAATAATTATGCAAAATATCATATACATTATTTATTTTCTCCCAGTGCCAGACTAAGGCACATAAAAGCCAAACATTACCAAGAAGCAGGCAACAAGGTGGCGATGTGAACGGGGAAGGAACAGGCTGCGGAACACCAATAAACTTGTGTAGCAGCGTCGGTAAGTGGGAATTATATAAACATATACATCAGTGGGCAAACACTCACACAGCCACCGCAGTACGCACACACAAGCACACATGCAAAATGGCAGCTGTTGCGGCTTCATATCGGCAGTTGAGATCGCCATTCGCAATTCGCCATCGCAGCATACGCGGCGTATGAGTAATATGCGTAGTCGATGAGCCAACTGACTGACTGACTGACGGGCGGCCATCTGTGAATACTTTTCTCTCGATGCGAACTAATCAGAAATTGGTGGAAGAATTTGTTTAGAAAAATGTAACGAGCGAAATGTGTGAAAATATTAATAATATTAAATTAAAAAATGAAACTACATTTTAGTTAATTTTCCACATAAACCCAGTTTAAATCAATTTGGTCCCTAAATATGTATCGACTAAAATCAAGGAAATTTTTTTCTTAACATAAATTTATTAGTTAGTAATCTGCGTTTAAAGAAAAATTATAAAAATATGGTTCTTAATTGTAACTTGGCCTCAATATAATGGTAACATTATAAAATAAATATTAAAAAACAATTGATGGGGAATTTAATTGTGATTTCAGGCAAATATTTCGAAATAAATATGAATTACCAATCGACGAAAAATGTAATTGTGATTATGACAAATTTAAAATGATTGAACACACGAATATTGTTGTTTCAAGGACTCGATTTGATTCAACTTAAAGTATTACAATTTGGCCCAGATTGTTTCTTGATTACACTCTAACCAAATTGAATAACTTGCGGGCATAAAGTTGGAGGGACTCTCGTTGTTTCTGCGAACTCTCCGCGACTTTATGACCCCTGATAATCACTTTCGCTAAAGCTTAAAGGTCTTAAGGTCAGGCAAATCAGCTAAGTGAAAGACCGCCCCTTCGGAGCTCCCTTCTGGGGAACCAGGGGCGCTGCTGGCCCCCTTCCACGTCCCTGCATTTGAACCGGAGGCCAGAGCGACGCTGTCGTTTTCTTATCTGCTTGTCGGGGCATTCGCTCGATTCGTATTTCAATTATGCATTCCGGCAGCATGACCATGGATGCTGCAGTGCACCCCCTTAAACCTGCTGCAGTGCACTGCAAACAGCAGAGAAATACGAAGTACACAAGAGTGGGGCGAAATTTTCTGTTACATTCCGCATTCCGGTCATTAATACGCCATCAACAGCTCGGTGGAGCCGAAGGGGCAGCTCGGTGGAGGGGCACAGTTAGAACGGGAGAGAGCATAGCTGGCCAGCATCATACTCATCGTCATAGTCATAGTTATAGTCATAGTCTTTCCATTGGCGCACAGTGCGAAATAAATGCTAGATTTTGCTTTGACCTGAAAACTCACAAATTCTTAAAATATTTAAATAAAAATAATCGTTACTCAGCTAAGGGTAGTGCGAGAATGATGGAAATATGAAACCGATATGGCATTACAGCGCCACCTAGCGGCTATTTCATTATTTGCTTATAACTTTTTAATGAGTGGTCCGATTTGAACAATTTTTTGGCTTGCCAATAGGTATTGACAAAACTGATATAATAAAATTTTTCACAACAAAAAAAAAAGTGTAATGTAGAATTGGACAATTTTCTCTCTGTGCATCATCATGGGCACGTCAGGTTGGCCTGGCCGCCTCAGTTGGATTTTTGTTGTTGTTGCTGTCCGACGGACACGCACGGACGGACTGTGGAAATGCAGCTGGAAAATCCACCCCCACACAGCGCTGTGAAGCGGAGGAAAATGCGAGTGTCCGAAGCTGCCGTTGTTGCCATTTGGTCTGTGGAAATGTTGCACGCACGGTCGCGCACCTGAGTGAAATAAGTTGAAATGCTAATGATGGCCAAACATTCAAATACCGGGGCTAACGGACCCCAGATAAAGCAGCGATACGTTCCGAATTGGTCCCATCGTTTAATCTGGGAAATACTGGACTCATTCAAAATTTGTTATATATAAACTAGTGGCTCGGTTGTTTTCCCTCAATATTTGTTGCTATTTTTCCATATATGTATTAAATATTCCAGATAAATGAAATATGGCTGCGACGTGTGAGGAAAGTCAGCCGGCCATTTGTCCCGTGGCAGATTGCCGGGCTCTGGTGACGCACACCCACTTGCTGCGGCACATGATCAGCGAGCATTTGGATACGCGGGCACGAACCCTGCCCTTTCAGCTGCGCCTGCGCGAAGTGGCCAGTGGCCAGCAGACCCTGCTGATGCTCACCTACCGCCAGCTGGCCGTCGATCATGACCAGTGCCTGGCGGTGCTCAACTGGAGCTGCGACTCGCCATTCGACCTCATGGAACCGCAGCTGGACCTGCCGCCCTGCCACCAGGCGCTGACCTTCCACCTGCCCGTTCTGGTGATGGTCTGTCGGACCACCTGGAAGGCTCTCCTGAAGCAAGATGACGACAAGGGGGTCTCCAGGGACCTAACCTCCGAGTGGGGCACCGTCTATCTGCTGTGGCTCGTCTCTCCGTTCACCCGGCGAGCCATCTATGCGAATCTCGCCGTCTTGAACAGCCGGCTGCAGTGCATCGTGCGGCGGAATCGCCGACGAATCCGGAACTTCGCCAGCCGGATGCCCATTAGCCAGTTCATCAACGGACTCGATCCGTTCTTTGTCAGCCTCAACGAGGATCAGCTGGACGAGCTGTGCGACGGCGGTGGCGAGAAGGCCTCCGTCTTCCTGGAGGTCACCATCGAGGGGGAGGGGCAGTAGCTCAAGTATTTCATTTTAATAAAATTATCACAGTGATTTTGTAGATTTGAAATAGAGATTTTCTTTAATTTATATCGATATTGCAATACAGTAAAGCTCTAATCAGTTCTAGCTTTTGTGAATCGATTCTTTTCGATTCAATTCTGAAAAAATATCGATTTAATCGATTTAAAATCGAAAACAAAAATATTCAAAAACAAAGATTTAAAAAGAGGAAAACCACACTACATTTGTCCAAAAATAATGACCTACAATAGGAATCGATTTTTTCCCTTATTCCAAAACATGAATTAAATCGAGTTAAAAATCGAATTTGTAACATCTATACAATCCAGAGCTTCTGAATGAAACGCATTCTACTTTAAGAGGCATTGATAAATTTAAAGAAATCTAAAGTGACAATTTTGTGTTTAAAATACTTGCAAATTTATGCAAATTATCCCAGGGCCGGGCAAAAGTAATCAACAACTTTCGAGTGTCCCTCAGCCTTTGCGGCTCATCTGGCTGCGGTTCAGTTGTGGAGTTGGTTAATAAGTTGAGACCAATCTGGGTTGGGGCGTGGCACACTTTGGCACCTTGGCACAAATTTGGCATCGGTTTATGGCCGGGCTCGCATTATTGATTCCGCTTTGCCAACTTTATTGCCCCTTTTCTGCCTTTTTCCGGGAGCATCACTGTTTTTATGGCCCAAACAGACACCGGATTCCTTGGAGCTGCAAATGTGCCATAAATTGTTGTCCTTTATGTTTTTATGTCCTGGCAGTCAGTCGGCAGGATGGCCGCAGCAGGCAGATCAAATCGGATCCGATTCAAGTTGGTTGTTTTAAGTGATTTTCCATGTCGTCGTTATGTGAATTTTGGGCAATTCAATTGGCCTCCGGTTATATTTTATACAATTGTTGCTAATAAATGTACTTAATAATTTATATTATTTACTATTTACTAAACACTAATTACATTTTAAATATATTCCTATATTATAAAATTACATTCGTTTATTTAATTTGTATATAATAGTGTTCAAAAGTCAGAGATTTCAAATAAAATTCTTCTGGCTGGACCAGAGTTAGTATTTCAGGTATTTCTCAATGAAAAACTAACTAACGTAAGAAAGTAGAAATCAGACACCAGATAATGCTAAATATCCAACTACAATAGTTACCAGGCAACCAAAGGTGAGTGGGGAGAAAATCTCTAGAATTTTTCCTCCTCCTCCTCCTCTTTAGTAGCCAAAGAGGTAACTCGAAAAAAAAAATAGAAAAAAAAGCCAGGACGAAAAATGGAGCAAATAAAATGGGGAAAAGGAACGAGAGTAGACAATGGCAACTGCCCGGGATGTGGGCTACTGCTACTTGAGATCCCAATATAATGCGACGACATGTTTACGATGCATTTGTATCTGGGCATAACACCCCTAACTTTCCCCAGCCTCATCTTCGTGTTTTGTATGCTCACATGTTGGCATTTTCATTGAGGAGCGGGGCTGGATAAAAAAGAAGATGGAGAGCAAAAAAAAGGAATCAGTAAAGTCGGCGCAAGGATTTCAAATTCCCATTCCATCCATTCACTAAAACCTCTGACTGTCCGTCCATTTGTCCGTAATTCTGTCCGTAAGTCTGTCCGTTGCCATACTTGTGCGTGCTCCAAAATCGAGAAACATCCCTTGGGTGGGGCAACAACGACAACGATGAGGACACACATAAAGGCTAAATTGGACCTGAATGTGCGCCGTGGAAGACATTGGCCGGCCAATGGACAAACACTCAAGTCATTTATCCCGCCCCCGGCCCCCTTTAAAAATACTTAGACATTTGGCAACCGACGGAGCCTATTGAATTGGAAAATTCAATGGATATAACCATTCAATTGCGTCCTACAAGTGTATAATTACGCCTCGAAACGGAAAGGTTGGAGTACTGGGTAACGGGTACTGCTATTTGGATATGGCCCATCTCAATCGCAAAACGGAATCCTTTGCCACATCTCCTGCCATCCAGAACGTGTTAACACGAAGGCTGAAACGTGTGCTCTTGGCCAAGTGAGTGGGAGCCATCAGGGCGAGTCGTGCCGCCTGTCAAAAGTTTTTGTTTCTAGTCTGTTTCTGTTTCTGATTCCCTTACCCAGCAATGCTGTTTCTTTCGGGTGAGTAAAGGACTTGGTGTCACGTATGAGGGAATTTCTTAAAATGTATTAGAAGCTTCTTAAACACTTAAGAAGCTCACAAAAAGAAATCTAAGAAAATTTATAAAAATATTTTGTGGCAAACCAATAATATATAAATAATATTTTACATGACCTTCATAAAGGAAGCTAGTGAAATTACTAGGTATTCCAAAGTTCGCATCCCCAAAATTCCATGAACTTCATCGTATCGGTCATACCCTTTTGTTGCAGTCAAATGTGGAGATGTTTGGAAAACAGGCTCGCAATCTCTGGACAACTCTGGCCGAGATGAAGACGCCGTCCTGCCCCCGAGGGTCCAACAGTCCAACAGTCTAACAAAAGGACAAACAGACGACAGACATGCAGAAGGCGGGGGATTGTCAAGTGGGCAGCTGGCCTAAAAGGTTCTTCCAACTAAATGAGAGAGCTTCAAGGTTGTGCCCGTGGGCCACATGAGCTATGCTCGAGTGTGAGTGTGCATTGCGGAGAGCTTTTCTTGAAAAATGATTTTCTTCGGACATGAGTTTCTTGAGCACACAGGCAAAAAACTGATAATTGCTAACTTAAAAGCCACTGATTGCAAATTAAAAGGAATCCTGTGAAATTCGATTATATATAATAATCAAGAATTTATTTCTGTTGGCCATAATTCACACTGAGAAAACCAAAAAATAGGTTCATTTAAAGGAATAAAAACATTTGATTATTTTTCGAAGCTTTAAAAAAAAAAAGGATTTTCAACTACTTTCTCTGCGTGTTTATATATTTTTGAAGAGTGTATACAAATTTTTTGTCAATAGTTTTATTCATCAAGTTTATATATCACTAGTCGATACACAAAAAAAACCCCAAGATCAAATTGATATGCGCATGGTAAATTTGTGGAATTCGTACACATGTCGTTTTTACCATGCAATAATGTATAATATATACTGAAAAATGTAACTTTTCGATTTATCGCTCCCGATTTCCCTGACTCCTTCAAAAAACAACCTGAAAATTTCTCCCTGTGCACCGACGAGTGAACTGACATTGGAGGTTGAGCCTCACCATCGAGGGCTGTCGTAATTGCTGGACAGGAATCACATGGATGGTCCACTCGAGCGGAGTGCTCATTAAACGGAGATGCTCCAAAGTTCGACTCGATGACACGGTCGAAGGCATTTAAAGCGATATTCCCCAGCCCAAACCTTTTGAACTTTGAACTTAATGCACATTTAAATGCTGGCACTTGGTCGCAGTCTGTTTGGCCAACTTTTCTGCTGACTTTTTAGACTAAAAGTCAAATATTTCATTTGGAAATTCCTAGCGACGAGGCGAGAATGAAATGTGAAAATTTCACCCACACACACACACACACACACATAGAAACTACATGCACACCACCATTTTTCTAACTCAGTGAAAGCCACCCAAAAAACCGCCCACTTTGGCGGCTGCTTAAAAACTATAAATTAAGTTTACAACTTTTCCGCAGAAACTTTTTTTTCGGTATATTCCCGCCCGTCTCGCTGCCACAGTTACTGTTATTTTCGCTGTTCTATCACAGTGTGACAAAATGGCATTGTCAACCCGGAATTGGAATCTCCGTCGCCGTTTCGCCATTTCCCCATTTCTCCGTATCTCTGGGTTTCCCTAGCTTTCTCCAGCTTTCTCCATCTCTGCGAATGTATGTCAAGTGTTACCAAAAGCAAGTTTGACATCCATCATTTGGCATCTGTGGCACTTGTTGACCTTTGTTTGCAACACGACACAAACAAGAAGACGAAGAGGAAGTTGGGAGGAAAATAGAGGTGAAAATTGGGGTGGGTGACTGGTAGGTGAAGGATCTTTTCTACTTCCCCCACCCGGACAGCTAATCAAAATGTCGCACAAAGTTCATTAACAACATTTTCCAGTCAATTGTCTTGTCAGGCGGAAGAGCGGGGAAAACTCTGGCAAATAGAGAGAGGAAAAACTGAGACAGCTAGCACATTTCTGCAGCTATGTATTTATGTTTGCACCTGCCACCCCGCCCCCAGCCACACCCCCTTTCCAGGTCGTTGGGGTCGGCGGCTCGCTTTATTAACAACTTGGCATAAAGTTGTTTGTCTTTCACCTCGGCGTGTCGATGACATCACAACGAGGAAATGGCAAGGAAAATCGAGTTGGGCCAAGACGAGTGCAAATTTATTGCCAGGCAAATCAGGTAAACTTAACGAACTGCCCCAAAGGCTCAGGCCAACGGACAGACGTCATCTGGTTGGCCCAAAATTAGAATTTCAGGTAAGAGTCATTTCCGGGAAACAGGAATTTCCAAAGTAGAAAAGCTGAACTGGTTTTTGTGTTAAATACACACAAAAGAACATGCCGGGATCAAATCGATATGAGCATGGTAAATGGTAAATTTCTGGTATTTAAACGCAAATTGTTTTTAACAAAATTGATATTAAATAATATAATTTGGCCGAATTCTCCCTCTCAAAGATTCTCTGACCCCTATTTACATTTCGTGCATATCAAATTGAGATGCTGCATAACAAGTCAAAATTGATACTACATAAAATACATAAACATAAATCATACCTTTATTTCAAGTTTTTTTTGGGTGTAGGATTTAATATTTTTAAACCATTTTTTACAATGCAAACGAAAAATGCATACAATTTGTTTTCATAATAATTGAAAAATTCCGATGCCAAGCAAAATGATTTCTTCAAACAGTTTAGACAATATTTCGCAGAAGTTCAGCCGGTTTTCCCCAAAGCCTTCGCCGACATATACACCGTTCTCATGAAGTTTTCTCCATTTCCAAATTGAATTTTCCCAACGCATTGGAATCCAGCGAACTAACCGTCGACCAAGGGTGTAAAAATCAATCAAACAAAACGGACTGACACTTGGACAGAC